AAGTTCTTCAATGACATCCACAAGGGTGTGAAGATGCTTGGCTTTGGCTTTACGGTTCCTAGGGGGTGGGTGTTGGGCCTTGGTGGGGTTTGGGTTCAGCGTTCACGGGTCAAGATCGGCGATGCAGCATGTATCATACGTAGATATGCACCTGGCAAATCATGCACATGGCCCATGTAAGCCAGCAGGCAAGCAAGGAAGTAAGTAAGTCAGTGAGTGAGGCAGAAACTATGCATTCCTGTCCGTCTATCTGTTTCCACTGCATCCCTGCCTGTCTCTCTTTCTCCTGCCTGCCTGTCTGCCTGGACGTATGTAGGTATGCATCGTATGTAATGTAGGGGCCTGAACAAAACTACCCATGTCATTTTGGGGGTTCCTTATTATAAGTATAGTATAACGGGCTCCAACACCCTATTCTAATTATCAAGAACCCTAAACCCTAAACCCTAAACCCTACACCCTACACCCTACACCCTAAACCCTAAACCCTAAACCCTGCGTTATGTGCTGACACTCCGACTGCATCCCCAGCGGCCAAGGATCGACGCCTACTTGCGACCCGAGGCTTTCTTGGGCGACCTGGGCGTGGACGAGAACCTGGGCTTTGGAGTTTAGGGTTTAGGGTTTAGGGTTTAGGGTTTAGGGTTTAGGGTTTGGGGTTTAGGGTTTAGGGTTTAGGGTTTAGGGTTTAGGGTACTTTTTTGTGGGGCCTGTTCCTTAAAGGAACCATTATGACATAAAAGTCTATACTTTTTTTGCCTGGTTACTTCAAAGCCCAGGAACCTGATGTCGGACCAGTTCTGGCATACTTTGCGCGAGGCCCCTTGTGCTTGGGAGGGAGGAGGGTTTGGAGTTCAGGGAGACTCTGGAAGTTTCAGAACCGCAGGGTGCCCCTAAACATCGCTAGACCCTAAACCCTCAACCTTAGTTCGTGAGGGAAAGGTTTCAAGTTGCAAGGCTTGAGGCTTGCAGGTTTTGCGGCTGAGAGGTTCCTGGGTTTGTCGCTCGTCCTGGAGTATGTTCCGGGTTTGGTCTTTATGGCGGGTTTCTGTCGGATGTCGCTGATATATATATATATATATCTCTCNNCTCTCTCTCTCTCTCTCTCTCTTCGACTTTGCTCTATACTTCTCGACTTTTCAGTCTACCTTGTGCAATTTTTCTACAGCATCGCCATCTCACTGTACTTCGCATCTTGCTCTAGTGTTGCTGTCTCCCACACTCCCCATCCCCGTTTCGTTCGTGCTTCCTCCGAGTCTTTTCCTTCTCTCTCAGTACACATCTAAAACTGTGCCTTTCAAACAGAAGCTGCCCATAAAGTTGGACAAGAAGTCTATCATCGGTAGTAGTAAGTAGCATGTGGAACTCCTCGGTGCAATGGCACTTGTTTCGAGAGACAGAAGCAGCAAGAACTGTGAACGCACTGAGATCAACCAAGATTCCATCCTGCCGATATGACGCCTACGACGACTACTCGTTCTTGTCAGAATCTCTTGTCGGAGTCGCAGGATGGTCACCGTCATAATGCCAATGGCAACATGTCCGTGCGCAGGCTTGAGGACGTAGGAATTGGCTGAGGGTTGTAGAGTTCAACATTTAGAACATTTAGGGCGGACGCTAAACCCTGAAACCTCAAGCCTAGACC